GGTAGAATTGGTACTGTCGAATTCACAAATTATGAATTATTGAAAAGTAGAAAATAAAACAACTAAATAGCGGCGTATGATAGGCTACGGGTCGGCTCGTCTTAAATAATTAAACGAAAACCTGGATACGCCTCTGGGTGCACTATCTATGTTTAGGTCAAAATCGGGCTTTCAGCAAACAGAAAATATATAGCTCCCTAACCACTGCATGATTCACCAGTATGCCATCTCCATCAAGACTATATTGCTAGTAAAAGTCGTACATTATATTAAATCTGGAACCTTAAAAAAACTGAGCAAAGACATTAATATATATCACGAGGTTCTACACTACAGTACGCTGGCTGTCAAACGAATTGTTGAGAATCGTGTTTTTGAATTGAAATTTGAAATCAAATTGTTCTTGGAAGTGCAAAGGAAACAAGACGTTTTGGTATACTTAAAACGACATAGAGTGGTTGGAGAGATACATTCGAACATCAACATAAGCTTAACCTGAAGCTTCAGGGAAAATGAACGAATATTATCACTTTCCATGATAATCTCGAGGCATTTTTATCAAAGCTGCAGAATTGGCGAAGAAAATAAATCTTTGAAATATTGTAAATTTGAGAAACTCTGCAGTGTGGTAGATGAATCTGATTGTGAGATAATTAAAATTTTGAAAGAAGCGATTTCTGGGCATCTTGAATCATTGAAAACGAAGTGCGGCTCCATTTATCTGAGTAGAAAGAAGAAGAATCTGCATTGACGCATTACACATTCCCTTCTTCCCTTGATTTTGCCAGCATTCCCGATGAATTACAAGATGAATTCTTTTGATTTGCAGAATGATTCCGCGTAACATGAAAAACTGCACACACAATTTTGGTGTAGTATTCACCATTCATACCCAAACGTATTTTCGAGAATATATTTTCAACACTATTCTCCGATTAAAAACAAAATAAAGAAATAAATTGAATGTTGATAATGACATAGGTTGGCTTTAACAATAACTTAACCGCGAATGTTTAGTAAATAGCATGCAATTTTACTCATCGTATTGAAACAGTTATCAAGAGTAGTTCATATTGAATGTCTTCAAGAAAATCTTATTTTAGTCCTTATTAATGTCCTTACTAATTTCGGCTTTTTAATTTTATGGGGGTGGCGGTTCACTTACTTTTTATAAAAGGGGGTCGCCACTCAAAAAAGTTTGGGAACCACTGCATAAACTGTTATGAATAGCATTGAGTATCTGTGTATAGCTATAATGGTGTGATCAGTACAGTGCTCCGTTATTTCTCAGCTGCTGTTAATTTTAGCAAGTAGTGCAATCTTAATTAAATACTAATCTATTTACTTTTTGTTTTAAAACTGTTTCAATATCGATCTACTGTGTGTCTAATGAAATACTAAATTCAGTAACAGTTTTGTAAAGAATGACTTTATTTAATATTCAGAACATTGCCCCGATCCGTTATTATTTTACACAAATTATTCTCAGTTTATGTAAAAGTTGTATATTTACATGATCAAAACAAAAGAGCAATTACATCATTAAAGGCTTTTGAAATAATCAGGTACCAACATTGGTTTGAAACAACGACAAAAGAAGCCTAAACTAAACTTTTAAATAAGCACTATACGTACTGTAGTAATATATGTACTGTAGTAGTATATATGTACTGTAGTACTATATGTACTTTAGTAGTATATATGTACTGTAGTAGTATATATGTACTGTAGAAGTATATATGTACTGTTTTAGTATATGTACTGTAGTAGTATATATGTACTGTAGTAGTATATGTACTGTAGTAGTATATGTACTGTAGTAGTATATGTACTGTAGTAGTATATGTACTGTAGTAGTATATGTACTGTAGTGGTATATGTACTGTAGTAGTATATGTTCTGTAGTAGTATATGTACTGTAGAAGTATATATGTACTGTAGTAGTATATATGTACTGTAGTAGTATATGTACTATAGTAGTATATGTACTGTAGTAGTATATGTACTGTAGTAGTGTATGTACTGTAGTAGTATATGTACTGTAGTAGTATATGTTCTGTAGTAGTATATGTACTGTAGTAGTATATGTACTGTAGTAGTATATGTACTGTAGTAGTATATATGTACTGTTTTAGTATATGTACTGTAGTAGTATATGTACTCTAGTAGTATATGTACTCTAGTAGTATATGTACTGTAGTAGTATATGTACTGTAGTAGTATATATGTACTGTAGTAGTATATATGTACTGTATTAGTATATGTTCTGTAGTAGTATATATGTACTGTAGTAGTATATGTACTGTAGTAGTATATGTATTGTAATAGTATATGTACTGTAGTAGTATATGTACTGTAGTAGTATATATGTACTGAAGTAGTATATGTACTGTAGTAGTATATGTACTGTAGTAGTATATATGTACTGTAGTAGTATATATGTACTGTATTAGTGTATGTACTGTAGTAGTATATATGTACTGTAGTAGTATATGTACTGTAGTAGTATATGTACTGTAATAGTATATGTACTGTAGTAGTATATGTACTGTAGTAGTATATACTGACTCTTATCAAGCAATAACGAAACAAGTGACATAGTTAAGATTTTAGGATCACTTATACGTGAAGGCAAAGAGAAAAACTAGGATGGCTTAAAGAAACAAAAAAAAAATTACAACTTGCAGAGGTTATAGCTAGAGACGGGGTGTTATTGGCTCTCTTGTGATGATTCCTTGTGTGCTAATGGGTGTTGAGAGACAATGATAAGTGAAGTCAGCCTTTCCCCAACAACCCTCCCCGTTTCCTATTGACACAGATGGTTGATTAAAAGATCCCCCACCTCACTAACATGATGGTGTCTAAAATTAAAAACGTGTTTGCCATATTCAGAAATTCTGCTCAGAATTAGCATTGGAACATGTTACGGATAGGGGAGATGAGTAAGGCGGTATACAGGACATTTTGTATTTTATGGGTTTTCTCTCTTGTGTCATAATAAAACTTTCAAATAACATTTGCTAATGGTGAAATGTGTAAATCATATATCTGTATGCTTTAAACCCAAGAATACAAGGACTTACTATTGAATACTTCTATGATAATGAAAATATAATGATAACTACACATAATAGTAATACTAACAGAAGGCCAGTGCTACGATATGGTTTAGACATTTAAAAAATCACTAGTTTGAGAACAGAGTAGCTATATCACTAGTATCATTAAATTTGCTACAGGTTTTCCCGTGCAAAAAAAAAATGTATTGATTTTTTTCTTGCTAAAACGTTTGGTACGTTTTAAAACACATAACACCATCCGTAATCTTATTGTTGCTTATTTAACAGCGGCACTTGATCTAATTAAAAAAGTAAAAGCTAAACCAACAAAATTAAAACTCGATAACATAAAATTATATAAATAAGCTACTACATAAAATAGAAAAGATAAATATGTAGAACTATAAAATAAATTAGTTTTTGTTGAATAAATTTTTCCAAATGAATATTTTTTCAAACTAATATTATTACTATTTAGCAAATGATTTCATTTATTTTAATAAACAACAAAATATATTTATTAAGCAATATATTTAGGCTTTGAAAGTTATGCTTTTGCTCTAATACATAACTACAAATACTAACTAAGTTGAAAAAAAAGTGCTATTTGGTTCCAAATCCAATGAATAATTTTACGTTACCCCCAGCTAATTAAACGGTAGTTCTTTCTAGAAATAGGGGTCGTACATATATCTAGTCACGCATCTAGAGTAGGGGGAAGGAGTGGGTGGCCTCAGTTTTAAGACGACGAACTACTGTGATTTGGAGATTACAAAATGGTATTAATATAGTAGGTATTTCTTAACAATAACTTTAAAATTATAGTTGATTATGTGGGGAGAGGGTTTATGTGAAGTAGTTGAAGGGGGGGGGGGGGGTTGGATTTTTTGAAGACACGTGACAATGAAAGGAAGGGACAGGTTTTTTTAAAATTGTCAATATCTTGTTAACGAAAAGACTACAAGCATGGTTTTTATTCCATAAATATTTTAGTTCACAAAAAGTTCAATTCATTGTTTAAATCTGATATGTTGAAAACAAAATGTAAACGCTTGACATTCACACATTTGATATCGTTTTCAATATTTTACAAATCAGTAAATCACATCAAATGTTAGAAAAATGATGAGCCAGTCACGTCACTGTTAGTATGTGCCTTTTTTTGTTTTCAATACAACATAACATTTGGGCTAAGTGTATCTACATGTTTCGATACGGGCAAATGCTCTGTATGTATATACAGAGTTATGTGTGAATTCCACCCTAAAATATAATAATGTAGGAACTCCACCTTTACATACAGTGATGTGTATATTTCCACATTCAACAATGCAGCAACCATCTTTCTAAGTGTAGGCTGTATATATTGTTATAATGTATCTATATACATTTTTAACTATGTTTCATAAAGAGAAGATACCATGGGTCTATAAAAACAGGGCAAACAGAAAAGTATTGTGTGGCCTTGGAGCTTTTAGAATCTACAGTTGTTTCAATTTAATATGGTATAGTATTATAATATAATTTTAAAAAGCATGTTTTCCATGCAGATGGACACATGTAACATTTAAGAAATGAACGATCAAATTTGCAGGTTAAATTGATACGTAAAATGATTATTCAGCCACAAAAAATCGTCAGCCGTCCATACTTTCTGTACCATAAGCGAGGCACCATAAAGAGATGAGTAGCTCTAAGTAAACATTACGCATCACAAAACAAATTTCTCAAACAAAGGATTAAAAACATGATGTCAAACATAGATGAATTTTTTTTTTAAAATGGGGCTTTATATCTGTCATCCCTCTCTGTATCTTATTTTCCATTTATATATATATATATATATATATATATATATATATATATATATATATATATATATATATATATATATATATATATATATATATACTTTTCGACTGTTTTTATCTGCAGTCCCCTTCCCCATAGTTACACATAAATGCACATTTCCCAGTTACGCTCTCCTCGTATTGAAATAACATCACCCTTTTTCCCAAAACTGCAGATCTTTTTTTGTTTAATTTTTTAATATCTTAAAATATTAACTGAGTTGGGTTAGGGTTGAGTGCAATTATCAATTTTGATGACACAAAAACTTAGAAAATGCAAATTATAACTTCCAAAATACATCAGTTGCAAATTATAACTGCCAAAATATATCAGTTTTCAAACTTCCAAAAAAATTGATCCTTATGTCCTTTTTTTTGACATCGTCACACACACACATACAAACACACACACGCACATAAATACACTCACGCACGCACACACATATATAAATACCTATACATTCATAACATGATTGTGTAGTATAGGTCTGATATTTTTTTTCCTTTAATCCACTATTGACTCCAGTAGAATTCACCACAATCCAGCTTGTTTCATTAGCTTTCGATATTGTTATTTCACCCGGAAAAAACATAATCCTCTATTTTTAGAAACATTTCCTGTTGAAAAGTTTCTCCTGCGGGTATTTTTCTCAGCGTTCCCTAACTGGGTCACGCGTGGTTTTACTAGTCCAAAGAAGACATTCGAAACACACTTCTCTTAAATTACAGTTTTATTTTTGGTGGCGTATTTATTTTTTATGTGGTGTTGCGTGGGTTTCTGCTCAAGGAAATAGAGCCGCGTAGTAATTTGTTACTTCCTGTTTGATGTAAACATGAGTCGAAACGGGAAGAAGTTCCAGGTTAATGGAGCCGTTACGTTGGAGAAACGTATTGATTCTGGTCGTCCGGCTTTACCCACAACTATTTACATTTTTACCAAAGATTATTTGACATTTCTTTCACGTAAATTCTGCTTTAGCCATCCACTTCTTGAATTTCAGTGCAAACACATTTAAAAAATGGCAAACCAATTATTTAACTGTAACTAAATACACACGAAATAAACATTTACCAAGATTTTATGCATATTTTTAAGCACATTCTGAAAATGCGTGGCTGCGATTATAAAAAGAAATCTGCTGTTTTGTTTGTCTGAAAACAAAAAATAATAACTAGACTTGCAGATGCACATAACATGATGACGTCATTGTATATTTACAATATTCCAACTCCCCAGTTAGCGAATATTTACGCTAGTAGCATTCACGGTGTGTCGTCTCGCTGTTACAGCATTTAGCTATAGGCACAGTAACATGTTAGTTATAAAACAATGAAAAAGTGTAAACAGTTTAAACGTTGCGCAACCAGTTTAGTCAGATAATCTGTTTGTTTACATCAACGTTTTAAAAATATCCGTTCGCATTTTCCCTTATTTTTTTTTTTTGGTGTTTAATCTTTCATACTGTACGCTATATAAGCCAAATTTGTTATTCTGTTATTTTTCTTCCATTGTTTTTTTTTCAATCAATCCTTTTTTAAATATTAGTTCCATTTTTTTTTAAAATCAGTTCGTTGATTTTGTAAATATTCTACTACCCACGTGTTTAGGGAATGCTTTTTCTAAATTTTTCTTTCAGCTATGCATATCTACAAATTATTCCATGTAGTTTTCATATCGATTTTGTTTCCTTATAATTTCATTTCTTCCACTTTTTTTCTATCCATGTTTTACGTAGCTCCGTTTATTTTCCCTATCTTTGTTTCCCGTCCATGTTTTTAACAAATCCTTTCACTTTTTGTCTCTCTTGGACCGCGCCTCCGACCGTTTGAGCAACATCTCCATCTCCTTGGCCTCCTCTATCCGTCTGTTCTTCTCCTCCATCAACCCACGGCGGATGTTGTAGTTGATGATGCTGAAGAGACATTCCCAAGCTGCCTGGGTTTCGCTCGACCACTTTTTGGCGATTTTCGGCTCGATTGCGGAAATAAATTGTTTTCCGATGATCTGAAATTTTAAAAAAATAAATACATGTATAACCTAAAATGAGCTCAAATGTAATACTCACTGTCTTTGTACCGTTTACAAATGTATAAATTAGTATGGTACAGTGGCGTAGGCAAGGAGGGGGGGGGGGGGGTTATAACCCCTCTCATGGACCCCAACCCTTATATATATTATATATATATATATATATATATATATATATATATATATATATATATATATATATATATATATATATCCTATTAAAATATATTTATATATGTATATATATATATACATATATATACATATATATATACTCATGTATCTATACATGTTTGAACCCCTCCCATGACCACTTCCTGGCTACGCCACTGGTATGGTATATTGATCTACATTTTGAATGTTCCTAGTCAGTAGCGTTATGTTGGATTTCCGAATGGGGACAAGACAAGGGGTAAGGAAAAACAGCATTTACACTGACAGCATAAGGGACAGTGTGGTCGAATGGTAGAGCTTACCAGAGGCGTAGCGACCCCCCCCCCCTCAAGATTTCGATTTGCACACCCCCCCCTTAACGTTTCAATTTATTTTTTAAACCCATTTTGGCGCCCCTAAGGTCGGCGCCCGGGGACATATGTCCCCCCCCCCCCGCCCCCAACCCCTCGCTACGCTACTGGAGCTTACAATTGTGAACCTAGTCTCGAATTCGGAGAAGCGCCCATTGAGTCCACTCCGCTCAAATGGGTACCTGACTCACGTTAGGAAAATCAAAGGCTGCTGGGCATGGTGCTGATAATACTACCCCGCTCCTAATCAGTGTTTAGTCCAGACTTTTTTCTCCAAGGGGGGGGGGGGGGGCACTTTCTTCGGGGGGGGGGGGGGGCGGACACTGTTAAAAGTATATATTTTCTATATAAATTATTTAAATTTCAATTCGTTCGGGGGGAGGGGCGGTACAAAAATTGCCCCCCCCCCCCCCAAGGAGATGCCTGGAAGAAACTCTGCTCCTAATTCTCAACAAGGCATGTTAAAAAAAATATGAAGACAAATGTACTGTCTCACCGGTATGAGTCGAATGTTGGCATGGTAACCAACATGGCGTTTCCCCAGCTGGTGCAGGAGGGTGACCATCCGGTCGACACGGTCCAGTCGCGTGATGCACTTGTCCACCGTCTGCATCACTCTTAGCGCATGCGCCTGGAGATAAAATAGCGCTGAGTTAGTGTGTACCTATACAATCTCACCAAATAGCGTTATATTAATTTTGTCGAAACCTTACCCATTCACCGTTAATATAGTGCGCAACGTGTGTTTGTTTTTAAATGTGTGTTGTGTGCTACAAGTCCTGTACGCTGTTACATTTTATATTTTTCTCAATGCCTTCGCTCGGGGATGGAGTGGTCTAGCGGTAGAGAGCTGGATTTCTAACCAGTAAGTCTCGAGTTCGAATCCGGGTTCAAGTCAGTCTATCATACCAAATAGACCATCTCTTCACATGGCAAGGTCACAGAAACAAGTGAACTAGATTTCACTAACCCTATAGACCGTCAGGTTTGAAAAGATAACTTTGCTTTATTCGTTACGTGCCTGCGCGGCAGGATTAAACAACCGTGAACGTAGTTCACCATCCATAATCTGTCTTGGACGGACCTCCAATTGTTTTTTTTAAATATTTTTTTAAAAAATTCGGTTAGGGAGGGGGAGGGTGCCACTTAAGTCTTTTGAAGGGCCGCATTTAAAATTTCGGTGTGTGCGGCCTATGGTTAAAGTATTTATTTCCTATATAAACAATGTTTTTATTTTTATTTTGTCCTGGGAAGAGGGGGGGGGGGGGTGAAATAAAGAAACTCTGGTAAGACCCCTCTTCTTATACTCTCGTCGAAATTTCTTTAAGAATTGTGCCACCATACCCACCTTATTTGTTACGGCAGAGTTTAAACAACTATAATTTTAAAAACGCTCAATAGATAAATTGAACAGTTTTTAATACTATTAATACATGTCTTTAAAATGCGAACAAAATACATACTAAATACAGTTAAATTCAAAACGTTGCATTCAATACAATTGTTAAACAGCCGATTTTATGTGTTATCGTTTTGATCTAACTAACCAAAGACCTCTATAACCTGAGGATATAAAGTTGGTTGCTGCTCAGTTCAACTCACAATATCTCTTTTTATCTTTTATCGGTGGAGATGTGAGTTCACACAAGTAGGCCTGGGTGCTACGTAGTGAAGAGATAATGTCACCTTAACCTAGCATAATTGTAATTTCAATTTCTTTAAAAATTAAAATATGTTAATTTTGACCCAAAATAATATGCGGGGGGTGGGTGGGGGTAAAAGTATTTTTAAATTAGCGACGTTTCACAACTGAGTCGAATATTTAGAAATAAATCATGATTAAGATGTGTAAGGGTTATATTCATACTCCACTCTGGTTAATATAATTATATACGTATATATACTTATATAGAGATATATGAATAATAGAATATAATTAATAAAAAAGTAATATTTATGGTCCTTTAAGTAAATTGCATATTTAATTATTTTCATTTAATATAAAAAACAATTGGATAAAAAAGCGGGAGTGATCTCCCCTAAACACATTTTTTATATGAGTTTTACCTTTCATGTAAAGGAGTAATATGGAACATTTCATCTATATACATGCAAGACGTTTAAAGTAATAATCATCGAAACTTAAAAAAAAAAACTTATATATAACTGTGTATTTCAACACATTATGTTGTATCTGTCTTACGTTAGAGAAAGTCAAGGCAGTTAGACACAGTGCTGACCACACCATCCCTAAATATGCCGAGCAGTGGCGGAACTAGAAGAAAGGGCCACCCCGCAAAAAAAAAAATTTAGCCCCCCCATATATATATATATATATATATATATATATATATATATATATATATAAGGTTTATCGTCTTAACGTGACGTGTTTAATGTCATTGAGTCATTTTTGTTGAAACGTGATTAACGTTCTAGAAATCGAAGAGTTTTGGGAGAAATTCCATACCAAGCCGTTATCTAACGACATTTCCTTTTATTTGACTAGCCAATCAATAGCTTCAGTAGACGGACGTGTGCCCGACGCGCGAACGTCACAGGAGACGCCGCTTATTGGTTTTAAGGATTCGTCCATTGTCCGTGGTTTCAATGTGGGGAGTGGGGTGGTCGGGTGAATAGCGCTTTTGTTGTAGGTGATTTGTAAAAGGAAGTATTGTGGTGGTGTCAGTAACTTGGGGGTTGTTCATTTGGATGATATGCAGTTCTGAAGGCGGTATCCTACCATAGACAATGTAGGACAGTCGGTAATAGAATTTTGGGTTAGGGTCAATAGATTAATTAAGTGATTACGATAGATTAATCCATGCCTAAAATTTGTTGAATTTTAGGGTTAAAAATCAGTTTTGGGATTAGATTTGTTGGTATTTGGTTAAGGGTATGAGATTAAGATTACAAAATCGGTACTTAAGTTTAGATGAAGTTGGGTTAAAAATCAGATTTTGGAATAGGTTTGCTGGTAGTGGGTTATTTTTTTAAGGTAGCATGATCGGAGCTTGTTTGGGTTAAGTTTAGGTTAAAAATCAAGTTTGGGATAAGGTGTGGGTTTATGTTGATGTTATTGCTTACTAACGTGTTGTGATAAATTAACTTACTATGGGTTAAGATTACGGTTCGGTAATGGTATTTGTTTTTCAGATTGAGTTGGGGATGCTTAGTGCATCAGCTAGTTGGATGATGTTATGGAACTGTTCTTGTCACGTTATTTAAAACAAACTTATTGATCGTTGCTGCGTGTTATTTATCAATATCGATTCATTAGCTTGGTTTTTATTTTTATTTTATTTAATTTAAAAAAATAATAATTTTTTTTTAAATTTTTAAATTTTTTTTTTGCGAAATGGTAACAATTATATTTTGAATGACAGATTACACAATATGTAAAACACATGCATAAAGTAACGCCACATAAAGTGCTTGGATTATTACATAAGATTTACACAAGAAAAAACTCAACCAGAAAAAAAACAACTCAAAGGAACAGAGTTATTGTTTAGACTTAATTATAAAGTCCACTCAACTCAGCAGGGCCTTAAGAAGATAATGGAGTTTGGCTATACAGTTGATCACACAATTATTTCATACATCAGATAGAAAAAAATAGACTCTACGTCATCTGTCATTTTCGGACTGACAGGTCTGAAAAGGTACTTCTAAAAATATAGAGGAGTTGTCTGAAACGAATTAATTTTACACAGACCGATTATTCCAGGAGAAGATTAGGACTGGTTTGTGGGGGAGGGGGGAGTAGAGGGGGGAGGGAGAGGAAATTGGAAGAGGTTTTGTTTGCGTCTTGTCAATAGTAAATGTAGCTACTGACAGATTGCGCCTGATAATAGACAGATTGTGTCAAGCTAACACTAGAAGTAGCAACTGAAAAATTGCGTCTGGCTGATAGCTGAAGTAGCTATTGACAGATTGCGCCTAGCTGATAGTAGAAGTAGCTACTGATAGATTGCGTCTGGCTGATAGTAAAAGTAGCTACTGATTGATTACCTCTGGCTGATAGCTGAAGTACCTATTGACAGTTTGCGCCTAACTGATAGTAAAAGTAGCTACTGACAGATTGCGCCTGATAATAGACTAATTGTGTCAAGCTAAAAGCAAATATAGCTACTGACAGATTGCATCTAGTTGGTAGTAAATTTAGTAACTGAAAAATTGCGACTGGCTGATAGCTGAAGTAGCTATTGACATATTGCGCCTAGCTGATAGTTCGAGTAGCTACTGACAGAATGCATCTAGTTAGTAGTTAATTTAGCTACTGACAGATTCCGTCTGGCTGATAGCTGAAGTAGCTATTGAGAGATTGCGCCTAGCTGATAGTAGAAGTAGCTAATGATAGATTACGTCTGGGCGATAGTAGACCTAGCTACAGGCAGATACGTCTGTCACCGCACGAGACACATCTATCATTCTTAGCCGTCCTACAAGAGAAAGATAACATTAGCCTGCTTCACCAAACATGGAAACTTTCGATAGCCTGCTTCACCAAACATGGAAACTTTCGATAGCCTGCTTCACCAAACATGGAAACTTTCGATAGCCTGCTTCACCAAACATGGAAACTTTCGATAATTCATCGTGGGAAGTTGCAAGTGGGAGGGTGGGCGATTGTACAAGAACGGGCTAGTGTCAAGTGTGTCGAGTGAGTAGCGTCGATATTTCAAGGTTCGTGTGTGAGAGTTGGAGATTGTCATGAAAGTGGGGGAGATGTCGTAATGATGCCTGTTCGTTAACAGTATTATGACTTATTGCGTAAATTGGTATCCCAATGTATAAATATAAATATTTGATATTTTCAGAATTTCAAACAATTTTATAGTTGAATAAGTGTTCAAAGTGGTCGGGTGTGTTACGCTCATGATTGTTGAACTGAAAAGTATCGCGTTCGACCCCCGGGCAGATGAGACGCGATAGCTAAGGACAGCAACTTATCTAAGAGACTCAACTCCAAATCAAACAACTGCTAGCTTGTAGTTTGCTTTTAGTTAGACAAAGGCTATTGAAGCAACATTCATTAAAAAAAACAGTAGGCTAACATCGGAATCAACGGCATACTTTACGCTTAACAAGTTGACACGTAATACTTAATTGTGTAATATGAAATCTCGTCTATCACTAGAAATAAAAACAAAGAAGAATGTAACAATATAATACTTACTGTTGCATAAGCTAAACAATCTATTATATTCAAGTGTAGCTGTACATGTATATATATATATATATATATATATATATATATATATATATATATATATATATATATATATATATATACGCCCTCATTTTTACCAGAATAAAATGTACTACAAGTACATTTGCACCTGCTGTGAGCGATACGCCCTCAAGTGATACCACATTTCGAGGACAACCTGTGGTTTTCTCATTGTGAGCAAAAACTCGGTGAAAAAAAAAAAACCTCGCTGCGCCCCCGAACATGACGTCATCAGCAGCTATCCATCAAGCACTCACCTTTAGGACGGCGCTCCGCTCCAGGTCCTGGACCGATTTATCTTTGAAGGCGAGGAACGAGTCGATGGCGTCGGGGTGAGTGTGGAAAAGTCTGTGGGTCGATACACGCCGGGTCAAGGTCACAGGTTGTTGGATTAGAGAGAGAAAATAATTTTTTTTTTTTTTTTTTTTTTTTTAAATATCGCTTATGCGTATTGTGTAATGAAACATGACGTTTTGGATGAGTTGGAAAAAAAAAGACAACAATGAGGAAAGAAATATGCTCTACGCCAGTTCACCTTTATAATGAAATATAGCTCCTGTCAATATTTAAAAATCAGTCATCTTTTTTGTTTTTTTTAAAGCTCAATGGGGAACACACGGTCGAGAATTCGTCTCATCATCTTTGCCCGTTCGCGCCCATGAGTGAGCAGATGAAGTAGAGTTCATCAGTTTCAAATAACTCATAATACAGGGTGTGTGAGTTGGGGGAGGGTAGTTTGGTCAGCACTATGGCCAGCCGCCTTTGTTTCCTCAACGTGAGTCAGGTACGCATCCGAGCTGTGTTGACTCAATGACGTTTAAAAGACTCTAGTCAGGGGGTTCGAACTCGAGACTTTCGCGTTCGTAGTCGTAAACTCTACCATCCAACCACGGTTTCCCTTAGATATCAGACTCTTAGCCATTTTTTTAAATACCGTTACATTTTGATGTGTTGCAATTTTTTTTTCTTATATAAAAATAGTATGAAGTATCTGTATGATATCTGCCTAGTGTATATTCATATTGATTACTGAACATCATTTCTGATGCCTATTTCACATACGGATTCATATCCTGATATCGCTACATTTACATCCAGGAACGATTCCATCAAAGACCCTAGACTCATGCCATCCCTACCAAATGACCAGATTATTCCATCCATCACTGGCCGAAATCTACATCCTCTGGCCGTCCAGCTTAACCGACCATTAACATCCGTTTGCCGTCCACGTGAACAGACTAGACGGCCCTGACCGATCCGACCTCGGTACATCTGTTGTTCGATTTTGTAATAACTAAAGACGCGTGGGATGACGCAAACGAAGCTATATTTAGAAATAGGTCAAACAGAGGTACATTTTTAGAGGTACCGAACACCAACAGTTTCATATTCGCATAGACGGGACCTTTTTTAATAGTTATATCGTCCGCACTGACATAATCTGACCATGAATCATATAAGTCGGGTGTGTATTGGCCTATGCCGAACCCACGAGACTGACTCATCGAGCCCCTGGGGTTCGATTGAACCCAGGTTAAGAACCACGGCTCTAGCTAAAAAAAAACCAATGTGTACTGTTGTGTGTGATAATAGCATAACCAGTAGGGGGAGGGGGGGGGGGGTTCTGGGGATTGATTTTTCTAAGTAAAATTATTAACCTTGAAAACAGAAACAGTAGGCCTATTCAAAATGACACTTGAGATTTTTAATTATTTTTTTTAATATTAAGACTTGTTTAATTAAAAATTCAACTTTCTCCTATTAAATGTGATGGCGAAATTCCGTAGCAAATAAAATGTTTCATATACTAATGCTTTGTTAAAAAGTGAAAAGAACAAAAACAGAACAAATTAAGGAAAATGGGTTTGGAGACCAAGACTTAGTCAACTGTAATATCTATATATATAATTCTCTTCTGGGAGCCGCTAGAAAACAAGCTGCAAACGCGCTCCCTACCACCCCCACCCCTACATGGTCTGGTGAGCTGTGGTTCACTCTTTATGTTTCACAAACATTACAAACACAGCCGGGTTTAGTGACGACTATTAGGGGCAGATAATTTAGTTTGAAACGATTTTAAACGTAGGGGGGGGGGTAACTAAGTGGAGTTTACTTTAACGGAGGGGGGGGGGGGGGTGAAGGAGGGCGGGGGGTTATCGTCCTTAACGAGCTACTTATAGTGTTTTAAAGAAATATTTTCATTGGCAGCGTTGGTAGTGTCAAATTCACAAATTATGAATATCTGAAAAGTAAAAAAAAAACAACAACTAAATAGCGGCGTATTATATGCCGCGGGTCGGCTCGTACCTTTAACTACTGACGAACAAAAAAAAAAGTCTTATGTGTCCACCTACGCTACATTGTAGTTTATTATCTTATCGTCAACGTTTTAAAAAAAAAAAGTACTTTTAATTCGTGTTTTAAATTACTGTAAAAAAGCACTTTAACTCTCTCATGCGTAGTAATGAGCAAGATAACAAATCACAACCCATGCATCCTGCTATATTTAGACATCAAACGTTTTCTCGCTGAAGGTACAACACGCACGAAGTAAATAGCGTGGTGAATATCGCTCCCTCCTCGGTGAGAATCACGCAACAGTTCGTGAGTAGAATTTAGATTGCTATGGTCGAGTTATTTAATTATTTACAGCTAAGCAAGTCAAATGCTAGATGCTCGTTATTGGATTGTGTAATATAGTAGACTACGATTGGCCACTAGAGAATATAACATGACTAGAAGTTTCGAAAAACAAAATGTTAACAGGTTATATAACAGGTTATATGCTAGGTTTATATATGATATATGTGTAGGCTAAAGATTTTAATACACACACACATATATATATATATATATATATATATATATATATATATATATATATATATATATATATATATGCATATACATATATGTATATATATTATGCGTGTATGTGTATGTATATGTATACACATATTTGTATATATATATATATATATATATATATATATATATATATATATATATATATATATATTATGCGTGTATGTGTATGTATATGTATACACATACTTGTATGTGACGATGTGTTACGATGGTTAAGTATAGGAAGTGGTGAGAAAATGTGATGCTGTACGTTATTGTGTTATTCTCAATATTAAGCTATACGTAAACTTATTTAATTTAGTTTTAGTTTTAAGATTTTAAGAACTAGGGTATTATGGACTTTATCGAAATTGGCTTTAAAAAGCGTGCTATACAGGGAGATAATTTTCGAAACATCCTTCATTACTTTGTTCAATATATTATGTAGCTTAAATTTAAACCGTTTTTTTGTACATACCAGACAGATTTTATGTTTACAATCATGATGCCATTTATATAAGTTAGATTCAGACTTAGATTAAAGCAAAGCGTATCTTACCCCATGAAGGTTTCCACTCCGACCTCTGTGACGTCGTTTTTAATAAGAGCCCAAGTCTCTCGGAGTATCTTCCCTTGATCTTCCGTCAGGGGCGTCGGCGCTGTCAAAACAAGGGCGGAAATATTACACGGGTGCTGCTCACTGTGTGACGTCATAAACTTGGTTTATTAACTGTTCCCACAACGTTAAGGATTACACAGCACTTTGATATAGGTTATTTATAGACTACTTAGTTGGCTTTTAAGTACAGTTATGGTTTTGAGAAAACAGATAATTAGTGATGTGATTAGATTACTTGGATCGTGAGCAAATGAAGTACACCAGATAGGCTTTAAGATAGGTGAGTGCTTGTGAGTATATATCAGAAGATACTGTAGACCTTCTCTTCTTTTTTTATTAACACCACAGTTTAAAAGAAAATAAAGTGATAACATTTTTATTCAGGGCTAGCCGTCCCGGCCAGGCCATGCACTGGCCTCTGTTAAAATACCTGTCTGTAAAGAACCCTGACTTGTGTGTTTATTAAGCATCATATTCCCGGTGTTTCCCGGGTAGAGGAAACAAATAATAAAAACATAAAAAAGTAAAAAGAGTCAATTTGAGCTTTATACTAGATTAGCTACGTGCTAGATTTAGGGCTTGGGTACGTGCAAGAGTGAGAGGTGTGGTAAGGTTTGGGCTATGTATCGTTAAGATACATTTAAAATCTACTACCAGTACATAACGTGAAAAGAACACAGTTTGTGATGTTTTTATTTTATTAGAATCAAGTGTGTGCTTTCAGTGAAAACGAAAACGTGAAAAAAGAAACAACGATTGGACTACTGAAGTCACTACATTTTAAACGAGAGTTTTTTTCAAAAGGAAAACACATTTGAAATGAAACAATCATTATTTAATTGAATTGCTATTTTAGTGTTTATCGCTTTATCGTCTTGGTGATTGTTTCAACAATAAATATAGGTGGTTAAATTGTGTTCTAACTTAAAAAGGTATGAAAAGAAATAAACATAAAAGAAACTGTGAAATATACAACAATCATCAATGTGATTTCAAAGCTTTCATGAATTTTATACATGGTTGAAGACCTTAGTTCTAAAAGTACTGAAGTCAGAAGAAAAATTCATAAATTAGAGAAAGTTTACACTTTGAAATTAGCGATCAGCAATGAAACATATTTTTTTAAATACAATTTTTTATGGTTGATTTTAAAAGAGACTTTGATAAATGTTTAGCTTATTAATATGATGATTATCATATAGAGTTAATCTAAAAGAGTAAAGAACATTGCCTGGTTTGATTTTGCAAAAGTTTACAAAAGTGTGACTGTACTTTTAGTACTAGGCTTTTCAATCTAAATGAAATATAAAACTCATCTTTACCTATAAATTCCATTTGCGAGTCTTAAAAAATGGTTTGAGTTTTAAAATTATTTAATTAATAGAAATACACAGCAACATTTTCATGAGTACCTTTAACAAGCGGCTGTTTTAAAAATAAAAATGATTACAAAGGCACTTTCCCCATCGACCCCCTCCCCCCGCCTTTTTTACTATGGTGTTTATTTCTACGGCATCACAAAATAACATTTTTAATGATATCTAGCTAATAGATTTTTAAATATGTTTTTGAGAATGGTAAAAAACAGTTTCAATTACTGATTACATTTACGTATACTTATGACATGTTAGTAGATGTAAATTAGATCAACATTTTTTTTTATATTTCATAAAAAACGTGATGCTAAAATTTACCCTTATGATATATTATTTTCAGTAGATTCACAGAGGTATATGTTAAAAATAATAATAAAACTCTCCCTTAATTATTTCATGGTGGTATATTTTTCTGTATTTTTACTTTTATGGACAACCAGTGGCGTAGCTAGGTCGGGTGTCACCCGGTGCGGCTCTTAATGGTGTCAACCCCCTCCCCCCCCCCCCCCCAGCCAGAGGCGTAGCGACTCTTCCCGGGGACAAACTTTCAATTTTCGATTTGCACCCCCCCCCCCACTCAATGCACCCCCCCCCCCCCTCAAATTTCTGTCTATACATTTTACTATTTTTTGCCTTGGTGTCACCCACCTAAATGGTGTCACCCGGTGCGGTCCGCAGCCCCCCCCCCCCTCCTCGCTACGCCTCTGTGGACAACGCTTAGTAATACAAATGTCAAGATAAAACTCATCTTTAATTATAACAAGTAGGTATTATGACGTGTAAATCTATACTTTTTTGTAGTTCTCCTTTCTTCGATAACGTAAATACTAAAGCTAAGACACACTAATAATTATGACATGTATTATGACTTTTATGTATATTTTTCAATTGTTCTCCTTTCTTGGTTAAATTTTATTACAAAATACAGAAGCTTAAACTCACCAATAATTATGAACTGAATCATGACTTATAAATAATATGTATATTGTTTAGTCCGTCTATCTTCTTGATAACGTTAATTATAAAATAACTCACCAATAATTATGACATATATTATGACATATAGTCTATTTATATTCTTCATTAGTTCTTATTTCTTGTATAAAGTTTCTAATAAAATACTCAAGCTTCAACTCACTAATAATTAAGATATGCATTATGACTTACAGTCTATGTATATTCTAATAGTTCTCGTTTCTAGGTTAAAGTTCACTTCAAAATCCTCAAGTTTCAACTCACCCTTATCTATAACATCCACCTGGTCCTCTGGCATTACGAAGACGGGCGTGTTCCTGTTGTTGTTGAAGATCGCTTCCTCGTCGTCCATCTCGTCCGTGGAAGTCTTGACCGTCCCCCTTCCGGCCCAGGCGGGCGAGTGATGACATCACACGGCCGGCCAGGGAGTTGCTGCGTTTCGGTGCCTGATTGGATTTAAAAATAACCGATTCATCCAAATCGCGTCCGGATACCACCATCGCATAGCGTAACGGGAGCCAATCAAAATCCAGGGAATAATGGTTAATGACGTCATGAAGATAACCCTAATGGGGAAATAGAATTTTATGGTTTTTTTTTCTTGTTTTTTTCTCGCACGTTTCGACTGGTAGTAGAAAAACGAGACGACTTTGGCATTGTGTTACATTTTAGACAAGGAATTCCTTTTTCTAAGCCTTGTCTAATTATACCAGAACCCAATACCACTAACATAAGAAACTAACCCTTCTCCAATCCATCTCATTATATTAACCATATGCAAAACACCAGACTGTAGTTTAGAAGTCTGTAGTTTTATTATTAATTCAGTTTTAATAATTTGGTGAGAAGCCACGTTCTTTAGATAAATTTTTTGGTACTTAAGTTCAATTCCCTCATCATCACACACACTGTTACGAACACACACACACACTTTTGTAATAGCATTAACTGAGCTCTTGCACCACAAACCACACCTCCCCTCTCCACCACCTCCTTCGACAACTCTCGCTCAAGCCTACTCTACCCACCTACCACGCCAACCACACCTCCCCTCTCTCTACCTAACCACACCTCCCCCTCTTCACCCAACAACACCTCCCACCTCTTCACCCAACAACACCTCCCCCTCTTCACCCAACCACACCCCCACCTCTTCACCCAACAACACCTCCCCCTCTTCACCCAACCACACCCCCACCTCTTCACCCAACAACACCTCCCACCTCTTCACCCAACAACACCTCCCCTCTCTCTACCTAACCACACCTCCCCCTCTTCACCCAACAACACATCCCCTCTCTCTACCTAACCACACCTCCCCCTCTTCACCCAACAACACCTCCCACCTCTTCACCCAACAACACCTCCCCCTCTTCACCCAACAACACCTCCCACCTCTTCACCCAACAACACCTCCCCTCTCTCTACCTAACCACACCTCCCCCTCTTCACCCAACAACACCTCCCCTCTCTCTACCTAACCACACCTCCCCCTCTTCACCCAACAACACCTCCCACCTCTTCACCCAACCACACCCCCACCTCTTCACCCAACCACACCTCCCCCCTCCACCCAACCCACACCCCCACCTCTTCACCCAACCACACCTCCCCCCTCCACCCAACCACATCTCCCCCGCCCCGCACCAACCCTCTGAACGCGTGCGCCTGGTAATAAAAGCCGCCATTGTGTTTGAATAATGTCAGCCATCATTACCCCAGCAATATGAGGACCCCGTTAACTGACACGTAATTTTCCTTGAAACTCAGCCTAACAAAATGGCCGACCATCTATTTTATTCTAATGGTGTCATCCACACTCACATAACATTGCTAAATAAAAATAGTTATCGAATTCATACAAGACCTTCAAACATAAGGTAGGAGTTGTGTTGATGTTCGTTTAGATAAGTCCCTATTTTAAACTTAGCGGTCCATAGGGGTAGATGAAGTAGAGTTCACCTGTTTCTTCAACCTCGGCGTATGTTGGGATAGCGCGCCTACGCCTCATTTTATTTTCTCTAACGTAAGTCAGGTACCCATTAGAGCTGGAAGAACTCAGGGCTCAAGCCCTGGATTCGAACCCGAGAAATTCGGATTATCGGTCAAACTCTGTGTTATTTGACCCACGGCTTCCAATAATTAAAAAAACAATCTCTATTTAACTCATACAAATACGATGTTAAGAAAGTAGTTGAGGTGTTGTGATACACACAACCAAAATGAATTGTATAACAAACAACATGTTATGTAATATATGTATATATATATATATATATATATATATATATATATATATATATATATATATACTATATATATATATATATATATATATATATATATATACCGTTTGGGAGTGTGACAAATGTGTTATCGGTAGACCCCAGTTGATTCCGTTGCTCTTTAATCTCTCCGCCATTATTTGTCTTTTATACCGGTCGATCTTTTAATATAAAAATGTTTTATGTCGGTTCTTTTGATACGGTAACACTAACATTAAGCAAAAATCTTAGCAAGACCTGGTGATATTCTAATATTACCTTTTTAAATACCGAAGCTTTTAGGAAATTCCTTAATAACACCTGATGACATTTTAGTATAATAACTGTACCGTTTTTTAAATAACATAACATTTAGTGAAACCTTTGCAAGTCTGTTGATCTTGTAACATAACCATACTATCTCAGATTTCAACTTGGAAAAATCGTCAAAAGTTTATCACGTGCTACTAACTCTATGAACCTGTCGCTATAGACATGGGTTGCTGCCCTTAAATGTGATTCAACTTCCAGTAGCGTCTCATTTTCAAGTGATGTATGACACACTTAATTTAAACTCTGCTGTTAATATCCACGATTCAGAATCGTACTCTCTCACTTTACACAGACAGGCAAAACTATACACGCAGTCAGTGTTTCTTTCAGACTTTTTTCTCCGGGGGGGGGGGGGGGGGGGCACTTGAAATTTTCGGTTGGGGCGGACAAAATTTTCCGGGGGGGGGGGGGGGTCGGACAAAATTTTCCGGGGGGGGGGTCACTGTTAAACGTATATATTTTCTATATAAATTCCATTTCGTTCGAAGAGATGCCTGGAAGAAACTCTGCATGCAGTATCTACCCAAAGCGAAGCGAGAACTGTTAATTAGCAATTTTCTAAAGCAATCTTAAAAAATACATGAAAATGTCTCATTTATAGTTTCAATTACATTAGGAAGATTCCTAATTTAATTAATTGGGTGTACATTTACGCTGGAATGGATTATTTTTCAAATAAAATATTTAATGTCGTTTTTTTTTTCTCTTTAAAATAATACGCAGTTTTCAAAGAAATGTTAAAAACAAGAATCTAATAAACAACAGCTTGCACAATAAAATGTTGACTTAAAAGCTACAAGGTACAGGAAATCGCGAATGTCAGGTAAAAAATCAATAGCGTTTCAATCAGTTTTTAAATAATTAACAGAATCGATTGAAAGCTTTAGTTTCGTGTGATTTGTGTACGATCAATCAATGCATTGACATGCGATTAGAGCATCGCAATACATTGTAAGGAAGCAAACACATTTGAGAGCAGGGTTTCTTTCAAATATTTTTCTACTAGGGGGGGGGGGGGGGCGTTCATCATCTAAATAAATTATATGCATATAATTTTCTATTACTTCCGGGATGGGATGTGATATACGTGCTTCAAGCAGTGACCCTCGTCCCACCCCCCTCCTCGCGGAGAGATGTCTGAAAGAAATTCTGAG